CCCGGCGCGATTGGCTTGTGAGGACTTCCAAAAGAAACCAAAAGCGATGCAAACACCAGCTGTTACTTTGCTCTGATACACTTGCTCCTAGTAGTGGTTTGCGTTGCTGTAGGTTTGTCCTGGGAATTGCTTTTAAAGGCGTTCCTGAGGTATTTTATCAAGGCTGGAAGCAGAGATCTTGCTGCAAGTGTGGGGGTCACTTCTTGGGCCTCTACAGCAGTGCTGCACGTTTTTCCACGTTTCTGTGACTTCTGCAGCTGAATGTTTTTAAACGCAACCGGGAGCAAGTGTATGTGTTTTCACGTTTCTGTTACTTCTGCAGCTGAATGTTTTTACACGCAACCGGGAGCAAGTGTATGTGTTATGTTGCAACTTTTTGCGTGCTTTAATTTTGCCCTCTGGCCAACTCCAAACCTGAGCCATAGGGAAAACAAGAGGAATGGTTTCCTAGCATTTTAAAATGGGATTCTTTTACTAGTAGATGCTCCTTTGGGGTTTTTTGTTTGGTTGGTTTTGTTTGTTTTCTTTGGGGGGTTTGTTGGTTTTTGTTTGGTTTGTTTGGGGTTTTTGCTTGTTTTGTTTGGGGTTTTTGCTTGGTTTTGGTTTGGGTTGTTTCTTTGGTTTTTTTTGCACAAGTGAGTTTATGCTGAAATGTAAATCTTTAAGTGTCCAGTTTGACTGAGCTAAAATACATTCCACAAAAAGGGAAGAGGGTTTTTTTGCCAGATTTCTAATAGGTTTGTCTAGGTAGGTCTGGAAAATATGGTTACATTTGTTCAGAATATCAGTTAAGCTTTGTTTACCCAATAGTAAAAGTCTCACCTGAAGTGTGGCAAAAAGACCAGTTAATCATTTGCTTCACCTGTAGAAATTAGTTGCTTAGCTGCTGAAGGGAGAACTTCAGTAAGAAAAAAGATATGCCTTGACTGTTCCTGACCCAGTCTCCTCTTTACTTGAATCAGTTCTTCCTATTTCCCTGACCACTGAGGCTGCTTTCAGCTTTTTCTTTCTCCTTTAGCAATCTTTGACTGTATGATGGGGCAGTTTTCTAGTGAAGAAAGTGTTTTGAAACTGGGACACTTTTCTTTATGAAACCAGAGTGGTTTTTTGTTTGTTTGTTTACAAGGCAAAATTTCTACCTGATCAGGATGTGTTTTCCTACAATCCAGGGCAGATTAATGGAAGGAAGTCCAAGGGATGTGCACAGAACTTGTATACTCTGAGAGGCTGCAAGTACAAATCTTGCTTAGCCACAGTAGAGACTGTAGATAACACTTGGAACTGTCTCTGGGCTAGAAACCAAATTGCAAAGAAATTATCAGGAAAGATCTTATCTTTATTGGGTTTTTTTGATAGCCATTTCCCAGACTAGGTGTGATTTGAGGGATAAAAGCAAACTATTCCCATATTTGGTGCTTCTGGGATTATCCACTCCTTTAGTTTGCTAGTGACACTTTGACATGCAGTGCTTATCATGCAGTGTTGCTGCAGAAGGATTGGCTCGGGCAGTGTGTAGCAGCCTGGGGAGGGACATACAGGGCTGGGTGACTAGTGGTCTCCCTTTCTGTGACATGGCATTTTCCATTGGAACTTGGGCTGGATTCTGCCTGGGCTGAGTGTGCCTGGTGTGAGAGCTCAGTGATCTTTGCTCTGAGCAGTGTGATGGCAGTTCATGAGTCCCATTAGCATGCCTAGGCTTCAGTGTTCTTCCTGTGTTAAGAGGCTGTTTCCAGAGTCAGAGACCACAAAATGAGTTGGAAGTGGTCTGTGTGTGTGTTAATATATAAACACATTTATCTTGTTAAACTAGTGGATTTAAATTTTGAAGAGTTTCCTGGGGGAATTCTGCTGAATAATTGTTTCTTTTCTGCCATTAGCCTTCCGCCTTGCTCTTATTCAGCTTCATGTGTCTGCTGTGAAATCAGACAATCTTCAGCGAGCCTGTCGACTGGTGAAAGAAGCATCAGCTAAAGGAGCAAAAGTTGTGGCTCTACCTGTGAGTAATACTTAGCCACCTGTGCCTCAAACCTTTCAAAACCTCTTTCCAGTGTAACCAATGCATTATATGTTCGTGTTTCTCTCTAGGTAGCTTACATGCTGTATGACACTTCAAAATAATTTAAAAAACAGAAAACTGGGGGCTCTCCCTAGCAGCACTGGTAAGAGGTAGGAAAACAGGAAGGGAAAAAAGTGCAGGTTGTCTTTTTTGTAGTATAAGATGCTGGTAAAGTTTTTCTGGTACAAATCCCTGGCAATGCCATCATGGATATATTCTGAATTCATGGAAGTGACACTGACTGTAGCTTGAATCTTTGCAGAAGAAATGTAGGAAAAGGCAGTTTTCAGCTGAATGTTTACATGAAGGTGAAAGGAGGACAGGCTGACAGTGACTCTTTGCCATAACCATTCCAGATACATGAGAAACAAAATAGAATTAAGACATTTCCAGCAGGTTATTTGTGGCTGGATTATGATTGAAATGCTTTTCTCTTGCAAATTCCTTGTGTAGGAACATAAATAGCCACTTAAAATTAATAATTTCTGATTTACTTTTTGGACTTCAGCCATGATTCCCTTGCTGGATGTTCACACAGATGGGTGTGCTGGCAACAAGGTGACCTTCCCAAGGGCACTTTGAGCTCTTTTCTTCCTCTCTTCCTGGGGTACATGTGTTACTCCTGTACTCTGCAGCCTCTGATTCAGGAGAGCAAAGTTCTTTTCCAGGTGAACTTTTGGTCTGAATGTTTTACACACAGAATGTTTTCTCTCCTGCTGTGACAGGCAACCTTCCCAGCTCCTCTGTGCTAACATAGTTCTTGCATTGCAAATATGACCACTGAGTGTTCTGCCTGGGCCTCCTACTTTGAGGTTATCTATTATTTGCTGTTTTCATCATGTGTACAAACATTGAGTTTTCCAGACTTGTTTAGTTGAGATACTCACTTTGCCAATTTATGCTTTTAGAGTAAAACTTATCAAACAAGGCAAAGTAGTTCACAGATTTTGGGAGGTAGATTGTGTACCAGCATTAGGACGTGAGCATGAAATATTCTTTTCCTTTTTTTTAAGTTACACTACATAAAGAGGTAACTTGCAGCGACTATATAATCTACTCCTCTGCAGAAGCACATGGCCGTTTTCCTATGACATATTAGCCTTGATGTGTTCAATTTTTTTCAGTTCTGAACAAAGAAAAATTTGTGAGAGAAAAGCAGTTCTTAATGTTTATGGATAAAGAAATAAAAGCACAATCCATTTGAGTAGAATTCGACCTAAAGCAATTTAGAGGTCTGTCCCTATATTCTTCCTGCTTTACAGAGCACATAATGCAGAGTGAAAGTTCTTGATATCTTGGGCATCTCAAATACCACTAGCCACCTAGTTTAGGCATCTAGACCACTCTGTTAATCTGACTGTCTAAAGTTTACATGCCTGGCTCTGAGGGATGGCAAATCTTTAACTAGGGCCCAAGATGGAAGATACTGTTCAGTTGTGAGGAAATTGTGTTTAAATTATTTTAGCAAAGCAAGAAGTAATTTTGAGAAATGCTTTTGCAAACATGCTTTTAAAAATTAAGAAATGCTGTGCTGTGGATGAGCATGAGCATTTCATAGTTTTGAGAGGATCTGTTCAGCTGGTAACTTGTCAAATGAGCTAGGTGGAATTTGGTTAATTGTTCTGATGAGAACATCCCTTGTGTTCTTGCTAATCCCAGACAGATGAATGTGCTGGTCTGGCTACTTGCAGCTTACATTATAGTCCTAGCTTGTGTTCTGTTTGGCATGAATTTCCACCAACACACCTGCTGTATTTTCTCTAACTGTTAAGGTCTCTCTGGTCTTCCTGATATTTTCCAATTTGCTTAGTGAGCTGCTATAAACTAAACTCCTGTAACTAAAGATTGTTTGATAACATTGTTAGAGAGGAGTTACAAAAATCAAGTATGTCTCCTTGTAGTGGTGCTGCTGGATTTTAGCTTTTTTTTTTTTCCCCATCTAACTTTAGGAGTGCTTCAATTCCCCATATGGAACCCAATACTTTAAGGAATATGCAGAGAAGATCCCTGGGGAATCAACACAAAAGCTCTCAGAAACTGCAAAGGAGTGCAGCATATATCTTATTGGAGGTAGTTTACTCTTATTGACCATCTCATGGAGGGAAAAATGTGCAATGTCTTTTAGTGCCATTGGACCAAAATTACATGTAATACAGTGGGAGAAATCTTTGTTCTTGCCTTTACAAAGGATCCATTCCAGAAGAGGATGGTGGAAAGCTCTATAATACATGTACTGTCTTTGGGCCTGATGGTGCTATGTTGGCAAAGCACAGGAAGGTAAGATGGCAGAATATTGTTATGAAAAGGTTTCTCACCAGTGTTGCACAAATTATTTCAGCTGTACCTAAAAGTGATGTAAATTAGTAGATCTTGCATTAATAATAAGTTGCATACTGTCAGTGAAATTTAATGTAATTTTTATTTGGGACATCCCTTCAAAAAGTGGTCAGAAGTTTGTTCTGGATGAGGATGACAAAATACAGAGAGTGTAATTGACTTTTCCCATATACTGGGAAAACTGTAAATCCTGGTCCAGCTCAAATATCTGTGTACCTTGGTCTGTGTCTAAAACATAATGCCACTTAAAGGGGATCAGGATTTTCCTCAGCTTCCCAATGGATTTAGTCCTTCTGTTACCATAAATACTGTTCTTCACATACTTTGTGCTATATGTATGGTCTGTGCAGACAACCAAAGTCCAAGTTGCACATTAAGCTGTGACTGATGTTTGTGGTAGATGCTTATTGTCATCTTCCAACTCTACATTGCTTTGTTCCTTCTGAGAAACTGCTCCTATTGGTAACCTCCAGTGTGGTTAATCTGACCATGCACACAGCTGTCATTCTGTAGGTGAACAGCAGATGATTTCTTTCAAGGGTAAACAAAAAATTGAGAATGCAAGGTTACTTGAACTAATAAGGTGGTGCAAAATACCTCTGGGGTGCAGGTGTTCATTTACTGTGTTAACTGATTCTGCACTTAGCTACACTATTAGATCACTTTGTGAGTGCTGTGTTGCCTTCCATCTGTCACACCACACCAGTCTGCAAGCCCAGTAGTTGTTTGGAGGATGAGTACAGGCTTGTACTGTGCAAGTATGAATGAATAACAATATAAAACCAGCTCTATTATTGGGAAGCTCCAGTCAGGAACAGGAACAGTCAGAAGATTCTTCCATTGAAAGGGAGGGATAAAGACTGTCTGCAGGGCCGCACAGGCATCTGCATAGCTGAAGACATGGGGATTTTATGGCTTGATGATAGTGTTTTGTGGAGAGGTTTTGCAGGAATGGGACTCAAATCTTGGAGAGGAAGACATCACCTGCTGTAGCATACTTCAAAATCATCCTGCCAAATCCAAGGCATTTTATATGTATCCTTTCTTTTGCAAAATTACTCATTAGGTCAAGATACCTAGCTATGTTGCAGGTATTTGCAACTTTAGATGTGTATATTTCCGTAAAGAAGAAAACTGCTTTAAGTCATCTTTGGGGGATCTAACAATCTTAAGCAGTGTTTAGTTTGGATCACGACAAAAGACTAGTCTAGATAGTAGTAGAAAACATGTGCCTAATAAAGAGGCTCAAAAACCAAGCAGAGAAATTGTTATTGTTATTAATCTTAGTATAATTGCAGGTTCATTTGTTTGACATTAATGTGCCTGGGAAGATACAGTTCAAAGAGTCTGAAACACTGAGTCCAGGGAATAGTTTCTCCATGTTTGATACACGTGAGTATAAGACAAGCCCTCTCTTTGAGGAGCTCTAATGCAGCAACACTGCAGTCATTCTGGAGTTCTCTTCCCCCTCCTTCTCCCCAGTAACAGATTTTTAGACTATCAGATTTATATTAGGTGTTTGACAACCATGGCAAATATAGTTTAAGTTTGCTCCAAGTGTGTGGGTCACTTCTGAAATTTTAAAAGGCAATGTGGTTGCCAAAGGATAGAGGAGTTGAAAGGGTTGAAGTATACATCATGGCACTCACTTTGGTTAAATAATGGTCCTATTGATTGGTGAAAGAGGAGTGACTGTGGGATTTTTTGTAGCAGTTACAGCTTTTGAATGGTTCTTATAAAATGTGGCTTAGAAAAGAACATATGTAACAAACAGCTGCACTGGCACATTGTTTCATGTGAGGATGATAAGATAATGGAGACAATTAACTGTAAATCATAGATTGCATTCCAGCATTCTTGAATAAACCACAGCAGATGAAAAAACAAGATACCAAGCTCTCAGTGCTCAGAAATTAACATGGCCCATTTACTAAACATTCCAAAGAGTCTTGTCTCCCGTGGTCACTTTCTCCTCCTTGCAGTCTGCATGCTGTAAGAAAGCACAGGACTGCAGTTTCAGTCCATGAAAAGCAGCTAGTGCTTTCTTGTCTTGAAAAGAAAACAACTGAAAAACTTGCAGCTAAATGAGAGAGGAATATGTTACACAAAGACCTGATAGAATATGATTTTGTGGAAATGGCTGTTCTTAAAGGGTAGATAAGAATGCTTCTCACAGTCTCTCATTGTGAAGAAAGAATTCTCCGCGAACAGTAGCTGGTGCTTGTTGGACACGTTTAAATTTAGCTCCTCTTGTTGCTGTGGGGCATATAAAATAACAGCTGGCAAGATGGCCACAGGGAGTCTTGTGATTGCTTTTGTGTACTTGTGATAGTGATATGACTGTTGTCTCTTGTGTTTTGAGAACAGCATTCTGTAAAGTGGGCCTGGGCATCTGCTATGACATGAGATTCGCTGAGATGGCTCAAGTCTACGGACAGAAAGGTGAGGCTGGGTCACAGTCAGCCATGGAGCACTGTCAGCCCTAAGGCTAGAACTGGGCAGGGCTGTTTCAGGGTGGTACATACTGGGCAACCTGTGCGAGGTGTGACATTCTTATCCTTGCCCAGTAACACAAAATGTGTCTTGTGGCCAAGACTGTTACTTAGATGAGTGACTGTTCTCCTCAAGTAAAGTAACCATAATTTCCTGGTACACATTTGCTCATGGAGTGATGGAGTATATCCCCACGTTAGGTAATGTATCCTAGGTCTTTGCTGATGTAAGTAATCACCTGTGTCATGCATAGACAGGCTCCATTTGGTTCCATTTTGGGCAGAGGTTGGGAAGTACTGAAAGAAACCTCACCTTGAGTCTCAAGGTGAAGGGCCACTCTAGGATAAACGATCCCCCCCTTAATAATAGTTGGGTTCTCATTGTCTTTTCACAAAGGTTGCCACCTGCTGATATATCCAGGGGCTTTCAACATGACAACAGGACCAGCTCATTGGGAACTCTTACAAAGGGGACGGTAAGATCGCAGTAACAGCTTATCCTGCTTTTCCAGAGGGAGTTTCATGTTCAGTTCCATGCACTGAACTGTTCTTGTCTCAAATTAACTGTGCATCAGAAGTAATGCTGCAGGGCCACTCCGCCATTGAAGCTGCACCATTCCTCAAGCCTTGCATGGGAAACCAAAATGATTTTGCTGTCAAGGAGAAAAGCAGGAATTACTGAGCTTTTACTCCTGCCAGCCCCTGGAAGTTATGTCCTTTCCAGGACCTTTTCCGATGGCTCTGTAAGCACTTGTCACACACAAATCCTAGACAGAAGAGCCACTAACCATTTGAGAACTGCTCTAATTACAGATAGAAATAGACTCTGAGATTCCTGAATGCAGTGTTATTTATTCATTTGGTCAGCTTCAATCAACTTTGCTACATACTGAATGAGCATGTGAACTACATGATACTTTGCACACTAACTCTGGAGCCAGGTGCTAGAGACTTCTCTTTCCAGGCTTTGCTCTCTCTGACCTTCGTATCATTTGCAGTTTTGGCTAGTCCTTTGGAGGATAAATAGCTTGCCTTTCAGCGTGAATTCTTCTACTTAGTTAAATGGTAGTATAAAAGCCAATTCTTCTCACTTTTTCCCCCCACTCCCTCATCTTTCTGTGAACACAGAGCTGTTGATAATCAAGTCTACGTAGCTGCTGTATCTCCTGCTAGAGATGAAAATGCATCCTATGTTGCCTGGGGACACAGCACTGTAGTAAATCCATGGTGAGTTCAGTTTGGAATTTTTGATTAAGAACATATTCTTGACAGTCACACTTGAGTCCTGTATTTCCATCTGCTCTTCAAAATGTAAGTTCATGGTAAAAAGCACATGAGACTTAAGCCTACATTCTCAAAATCATAATTTAAGACTGTGTAACTGAAAAAGAAGAAACTAAAACTAGTTTGAGTATTTATTCATTTTGGTAGTTAGGATGCTACTTAGCACCAATATTTAGCATCAGTTGAGCTGCTGAGCTTTTCAGCTTGTCCCCGAAGTCCAGTCTGTTATACACTATGCACTGTAGTAATTCTCTGTGTAGAACTGAACCATCTTAAATAGCTTACACAAAACTATTTCATTTCCTCAAAGAACAATACTGCTTTGACATAAGAAAAAACAAGAAGAATACCTTCAGCTAGAGAAGAAAGATATTCTGACTTTAGCAGAAGTCACAGAGGTGCACAGGAGGTAAAAGTGACCAAATCATCAGGCAGTTATTTTTCTTTCAAATAAATCTACTGATAGATTGCAAAGTAAGAAAAGTTTTGTCTATATCTTGAGCTCTTAACTTTATATGATGAAAGAAGTGACAAAACACTTAGCAGGAGACAGGATAAATAATGTTCAGTAGTTCATGCAGAGTAAAATATACTATTAAAAGCCATAGGATCTTGAAAGGCAAAAGTGTTCATCTCTGCCATATAGGGTGTCCCTTTCCCCTTGAGGTATGTTGCATGCTCACATGCACTGGTTCTCATAGTTGCTTTTACCTTTCTGCTCTTTGGATCACACTTAGGTTAAGTATGTATATCTCACGTGTAAAATGTGCCATATATAAAGCCTGGAAGCCATTTCTATCATGCCAGAGTTATGAATTATGATGCTATTTTTAGGACAACCCTGTCTTTACAGCTGTAGGCATTAAGGGTAGGAACGCTCTTTTGTACAAACAGCAGCAACTGGACTGATGCCTTGAGACCAGTGTGATAATGCTGTGAACAAATGTGTTTAATTTTGCAGGGGTGAAGTCATAGCCAAAGCTGGGGCTGAGGAAACGGTTCTATACACAGATATAGGTAAGGGTAAAGTTGTTTTGGTTTTTTTCCCCACTTTCTTGAGTACATCTCATGAGACTAAGGAGAGAGAATTTTTTGTAAGTCTTGGCCTTGCACATGCGAATACAGATGATGCCGTGTTCTGATGCCTTCTGCACCTTTGCTGGTCTAAAACAGGAACAAGCAGCACTTGACTATACACTTCTACTTTCCTTACTTTGAAGGAAGCTGCCACCTTAGGAAAGAGCAAAGTTGAGGTTTCCTTCAGCTCTCACTGCCCACCTGCAGTGCCCTGTAGGCCCATTCTCTGTGAAAGCTCTTTTCCCTGCCTTACCTCAGAGCAAGTCAGGGGCTTTCTTATTTGGCTGCTGTTGTCATAGCTCTTTTTTCTCCCCCTGCAGATCTGAAGAAACTTGCGGAAATCCGTCAACAAATCCCTATTTTAAGCCAGAAGCGTTGTGATCTCTATGGCATAGAGATGAAAAAGTGAAGCTAGGTGAAGAGAGAAGGTGCAGTTGCTACAGTGTCTGTTGCCTTCATCTTTAGAAGGATTCCCATAGTAATTGCTCTACAATTTACTGCCAAATGTGCCTGTTAAAAAAAAAAATAACACACAACACAAATCTTGGTGGTCCAATTCTAAAACTGATTCAAATGCAACTCTATATCTGCTCTCATACTGAAGTATTTTATAGTATTTTACAGCTAGAATAAAGATAGAGTGAAATCAGTTCAAGATAGCAGTAATTAACATTGTGCTTTATGCATCAGATGTTTTAGTTACCTTTTGGGGGCTTTTTCTGTATAACACACAAATGGAGACCTTGTTCTCTGAAACCCCTCTCAAGTCAGCTTTGGTATTATGAATTTTTCAGTGAATTATGAGATAATCGAGAAGCATGATTCTTCCCTCTCATATTCAGTTGCAAACAAAGTTCTCTGAATTCCCTACTTCTAACTTGGAAAGCTTAAAATTTAACCCACTGAGCACAACAGGCCAAATTCTGCTCTGCAGTACTTGGGACAATGCAAGAAGCTGCCAGACAGGGCTACCACTACAGGAGGATCTGTAATGGGCTGTAGTTGTCTTGCCTGGAACATGTGTATTAAATTCTTACAGGAAATGCTGAAGTGACACGGGGAGCTGTGTTGTTAATTGCTATGGTGTCTTACCTTTGCTCTATGTGCTGCTTCCTTAATGTGTCTGAGTGGGTTTTACTCCTGCTGCCTGGCAGTCCTCACTGGAGAAGGCTGAGGGGAGTCAGCTGGAAAGGATTGGAAAACTTGCAGCACTGCTAAGTCTTCCTGCCCACAGTATTCCAGAACACTACTCAATGTTCAAATGCATTATTGCTACCGTGGGCAGCTCCTGTCCACTGCAGGGGAAACACTCTGTTCTCTGCCACTTTTGCTGAAGAAGGATGGCTTTAAAATACTGAGAACAAGCCCAGTCTGATGTGTAGTTTTGGGTTTTGTTGTGTTTGGTCTTTTTTCCTTAGAGCGAAGACACTTTTTAATGTAAAAAAGAATTTCCAAATTGTGGGGTTTTTCCTTGGAATGAAAAAAGAAGCAACTCTCCAGCCTTTACCATAGGCTTTTAGTTTTCCAGCAGAAAAAAAGAAAAAAAAAAAAGTAAGGCTAAAGGAGATTACAAAATACAAAAATGGGAGGGAGAGGTTTTCTCTTGCTCTAGATAACCACATTTGCCCCCAAACCACCTTACCTTCTATTCATGTTCAGCCATCCTCCTCTTCCCACAGCTGCTTTTTTGTTTTTTAAATGTTCATTTGGCTTTTCTGCAATGAGCTAGGTGTGAGTTTTATAGAGGAAAATTAACACATCAGTTAAGCCAAACCTGATTCATCCTTCCCCTCAAAACACAGATCCCACCATTCCACTCAGTGGCATTATGTATTCCAGCAGGTATATTTTGGTCTGTACTTTTCACTGCATTTTGGTGTACATATTGGACTGGAACTCTTAAGAAACAAGCCACATAGCGTAAGATGAAACGAAGATTTATTTCTTGAAAAATAAATATAAAAAATTAACAATTTACCATTTGAGCCAAGTCTCCTGCATTAGATTTGTGCCTCCCACATACTCAACAATCTGCATCTGCAGTGGCCATCACTGAGCTCCAACTTCTGAATTAAAGCAGTAACCCTTATGCATCCATTTCTCTAAAATATTTTTTCCCTCCCCTCTCTCCACTAGTTTAACATGCAGCAGCAGTAACTAATACTACCTTTGGAGGATTCAAGTAGTGTAGCACTCTAGGCTGAATACTTAAAATTTCAAAAATGCAAAGTGCAGTCTGAAGCAGACAACAGAATCCGTGGCCTGGACCCTCCCCTGGAGTCTCATCAGAAAATGTGTCACAAGCTAATTCAGTGAACTCAGCTAAAGAGCTGACAAGCTCAGTCCTCTTCAGTCTGTCAGGACAACTTCTAAGCACCTGGTTTTGGTAAGATATTTTAAGGGTCTCCAGGGTACTCCACTCAAAAGTGAAGCAAATGCGACTGTATTGAGGGTTTCAATGAAAAAAGTACATGGTCAGTCCTCATCTAGATAATGCTTAAAGCAGCCAATACTCAGTCTCTGTGTTGGAACATAATAGGCACTTTTAAGTATCCATGTTATACATACAGAATATTGGTGCATAAGTATAGAAAACCAACCAGTAACAACCCTGAAACAGTTCCAGGATTTCAGCCTGCAAAAATACATTACTAAAGAAACGGCAGAAAACACTGTCATGCCTGTTGTATTGGGCAGTGTTAGTATCACTGGGCTGATTAAAGCTGCATCTAAGCTGCTCTTGCTAGTTGCAGTTACAGTACAGCACTTGAGTGTATGTTGGTTCCTTCTTCACTTTCAATCTGCAGTTAGACCCTAGGAAGTCAAGTCACAACTTATCTCCACCTGAGACAGGCTTGCCAACAGGGATTGTACATGATCAGAATTAAGTTGCAAGACAACTGTATGTAGAAACAACATCCCAGAGTGTCTCCCTAGGACATATCAGGTTTATCCAACTCTTCAGTACTAGCTTCCTACAAAATGTCAAGGGGTTTTTTTCATTTGTTTGAATAGCAGTAATACTTGTTTCACTTCAGCTTCTGATTCTCAAAGTTCACATCACACCTGCTTGAAAGGAAAACCTCACCTGCATCAGCCACTTCAAGTCCCTTTCACTAAAGGGATCCACCTGCATACACACATTCTACTACTCACACTCCCAGGTTTCCTGGCTCAATTTCCTTTCCCCTATAACTTCAGCTCTCAAGATCATACCTCTGTGAGTGATGGAAGCAAGTGAAGATCAGATTTGTTAATTTCACATCTTCTCCTCATTCCTTAAAGGTTGAAGTGAAAGAAGGTGACAAGGAGTCAGTATTAGTTCTTGCTAGACTCAGAACAACATCAAATACCCACAGGGTGCACCACTGCAGAAAACGCTCTCATCAAAACCTGTTCTCGTACGTGTCAGAGAGAGATACTTGAAGGTAATATTTATTTTTTCAGTTTACAGGTGATATGTCATTTACAAAAAAATTACAGACAATGCATCCTTTCAGTGCAGTTTCAAACTAGTTCAAGAACAGGCAAACGTCTGTGATGATTTGGAATGCTAGTAATTGACAGCACATGCTTTTTCCCTTAATTGATTGGGTGAGGTAAGGAATGGGGTACAGGTGGGTGATGAGAAGAAAATGCCAATGTAGATAAGGCCATGCGAATAAAAACTCCTCAGGAGAACAGGACTCATTGGTCAGTCTGGTATATTTTTGTTCTCAGGTAACTGATGCAGAGATTGGAAGTTCAAGAAGACATCTGACACTTGTTAGTGCAATGCCCTTAGAAGCTGCCAGTACCTTCCCATACCTTCGATTCTACACCAACGCTGTGATTTCAGATCACCTACTGAGCTAGCTAAGAGAAGGATTAAATCTTTATGTCTACTCTCCACCACTTGATTTCTCAACTAGTTGCTGGGAGAAAGGAAGGTCAAGTTGAAAACGCAAGCTGCTGCTGTATGGTGGCACAACTACAGAACAAGACAGTCTGACTACAGCATGACCACGTGACAATTCACCACAAACAAATCTATGATACCAGGATGGAAAGAAGCCCAAACTAGTGTGTCATAAATTAAGCTACATCATTCGCATGAGGTTTATCCAACCACATCAATCCAGGAAGAGGCAAGATGGACTGACTGACTTCCACACCAGAAAGATAACCCAAAGCAAGAGGGCCCTCTGTGAAGTTCCTAACTACAGGAAGATTGTTTATACTGTATTTTGTAATCTGCCCATCTGCAGTTTGCAGAACAGTTGTTTCCTTCCTACAGTGTTTGTAATCTTGGACAAGACAGTGTCTACAGAACAAGGAAATCAGTGCAGATTCCAGATCCATTATTTGAAGTTTTAGCGTATCTTGTTCCTTATCTCACTTAATCCTGCAAAGGGGCTCTTACAAGGAGCAGCTCCTAACACAGCAGTCTTTAGAGACTGAAGAGAGTTTAGATAGTCTATTAGCTGTTACATTTATGCAAAAGCATCAGAGATTACAAGGATTATATGCAAGCATGACCTTACCTTTGGGAGCTTGACTCCCAGCAGTGCTTTCTGTTCTTGCAAGTCCCTCTGAACCCTCCAGAACAATTTCTATGACATCCAAGCAAGAACTGCATATAGACAGCATAGTCTATACTGAAGCAGTGTTACCTGACCTCCTTCCCCAGCCAATGTTTTCTCTAGCTTCTCCTACACAGTACTCTAGGGCTTGCTGGGGTGAGGATAAGGACTGTCAAATTAATTCCCTAATAGCTGCCACAGGACTATTTCTAAGTTATGCAGAAGGTGGAAGGGGATTTAAGGGAAGATTGTGCATGCTTGCATATATTTACAGGGATTCTCTCCGTATCTACTGACTTAAAAAAAACCCTCCATTATTAAAGTTTGAAAATTAATTTTTTCCTTTTTTGCAAAATTAAAATCAACCCTCAGGAATTAACTGGATATAAAAAAAGAAACCTATTTTACAGCGCTGACTAGTATTACCTTTAAAACCAACAGGAAAAAACCCACATGCTGTAATATTGTTTGATGAAGCAAAAATCGCCCACAACATAATCACCCAAAATGAACCAGTGTGAAGTTTTTATTTGCATGGCCAAAATATCCTCCTTTTGTTCCCCTGCAACATTATTTCCCTTAACACGCTTTAAGGTTTTTGCTGCAGAAAGAACAAGATGCAGCACTGCATACTTCCTTGAACAACCACTCCCACAACACCTAAACATTTAACAGATGTAGCAAATGACAACACCACGAACGGGAAAAAACTAAGTTCCACCATTCAGCATGGTCTGCAACAGCGTCTCTAGGGCTGGCTGAAGTGGGCAACTTCACTTGAGAAGGTCATTTCCTCCTTGTTTCTTTACAGCGTTGGTGGTTTCAATCCATACTTCTTTGCAACTTCTGTCTGGGCATAGGCAGCATCACAGAGGGAGTAGAGGTGGGCCATCTCCATTTCTGATTTGGCCAGGTTGATAGCTTTGTTGAACATTTCAATGGCTTTATCCAGATTACCTCTGAAATAAACAGAAATTTAGTGCAATTACGACTGCCAAGGCAATTTTTTCATCTCCACAGCATTTTTTTTTCCTTCAGGACTTACACTCTCCACTACTAATAACTTTAGAAGGACTTTAGGAAGAACCACCCCAAGAACCTGCAATGATGCTGGGTAAACTGAGATAAGTTATTCCCAAGCCTAAGCAACTAGGACAGCTGTTAAAGAGCCTGCCTTCCTCTTGAGAGCCCCCATGGCAGGTAGTGCAGGATAAAATGTTCTCCACAGGACACCAGGTTTACTACAATGACAATGCTGGGACAATTGAATGAGCTTCATCTCCCTTGAAAAGACTTTGTATACTTAAGAGGAAAACTAGCACAGAGGGAAGCACATTATTTAAATAGGAAATGCTTGCAAAATTTCTCATGGCAATAGTTTAGTTGTCTATCCTTTTGATGACTAGACATTAAAAAAAGACTCAACTACACTCAGCTACACCCCAAACTTTTGCACAATCAATAGAACGTGCACTGATACAGCACAGTACATCAGTCTGTCCTCTTTACTCTGAGAACTGTCCTCCTGTTGGCTGCAGGAGAGCACAGTGCAGGATCCTCAGGACAAATGGCTCATTCTGTTTAATGACAACATTAGATACATGGGAAGCCTAGTCATGATTAAAGAAGTTACTTTAAATGCAGAAGGGATGTATTAAAATATACACAGACTCATCTGCAGGGTGTCCAGTAACTGGTGAACATGAGTTGTTGTCAGATCATAAATCAGAATTATGCCACAGAGAGCAGAAGGTTTTACCTAAGAGTTACAGAACAGAATTCGGGACTTTGGGTAAGAGCTGGCCTTGCACAGCACCAGGGAGAAGATGTTATGACTTAGGATCTATTGGAAATTTAAAGGACAACTGTCATTTCAAAAGTAACTAAGAACTCATAACACTACAATTCAGCATTACCTTTGCACTTCAATCGTTCCCATGGTTTCATATGCAAAGTCACATTTGTTATCGATTTCAATGGCCTTGCTTATGAGTTCTAAGCCTTTGTCTAAATCTTGCTTCCACTGGAGCTGAAGTAAACTAGAAGAGACAGAAAATTTAGAACAGATTTCACATACTCCTTCCAAAACCCTGATCATGGTAAGCAAAACAACTGTATAATGCATAATGAATTTAATGTCGGATGTATAATGCAGGGTAAACATTAACTTAGTAACTTCATGACTTTTAAAAACATGGATGTTAAAATCACTTTCAGTAGGCCATGTTACTGCTTTAATGACTCTTAAAAAGGGAAATTTCTCCCAGACTTGTTACACATTGGTTTATGAAAGAAAAACCTTCAACAGAAAGCTACAATTGATACAGGGCTAAAGGAAAAGTCAGATATACTTCAAGTAGATACTCACTTAGCAATGATCACTGATGAAACTTTCCTGAAACTTATTTAGTCAAGAGAAATACACTGTAAAAATACACTTAAGAGCACTAAGATGCTTTCACAACATTATTTATCCTGGCTAAAGTTCTAAACACAAATATTCAATTCAGGTTGATTCATCTAAATATGCCAACTGTCCTTGACCCAAAGGATCTCAAACCCAATACATACCCTTTATGAACATATGTCGTGGCATTGTCTGGCTCAAGGTCAATGCATTTATCATACATTTCATCAGCCTTGCCAAACTGCTGTTGATCAGTTAGTGCCTGCATCAAAAGAGAAACCTCTATGTCAATAAACAACCAAGGATGCACTCTGCACTAGGCTAATTCTAATTAAAACCATATTGATGTGAGATTGGATATAGTTCTTTTATTGTAGAGCACGCCAGGCACATCAGTTACCAGAGTTCAATTTCAAAATTGAGGCTTTTTGTGCACAAATTACTGACCACAGCACCACCTGTAAACCAGCAGTATGTTGTGTTCTGCAAGTAAGTAAAAACCATTCTTAAAGTCTGCACCTGCAAGTGTTAACTCTTCCTTTTTCAAAGATACTTGTTTCAAAAGGAAATGCATCCCTACTGCCTCCCTACTTAAAATCAGAACAGCTCATGCTTCATACTAAAACCAGCAGTAGGTTTTCTTAGAGAAGAACAGTCTCTGTTACAAGTGTACTCCAAACAGCTGTTCTGAACTCTGCTTGACATGCCATTTGTAGCAGAACAGAACTGCTACCTTAGTTCCACACACTGAACTCCCAAATTACCTAAAGAATCCCTGACATTCACCAACTGAGATGCCACACACATGCACGAAGGGGGGAATCATGCAGGAAGGGCAAGTGTATGCCAGATCTGTCTCCTAATAACCACCCTCAACTCTCATTACATATGTTCTGCTCCACCAATTCCCCCTCTACCCTGTAACACCCATAACCATAACCTGCAAGTGGCTTATTCAAGACAGGAAGTGTTACTTCAAAACTTACTGTCAAAAACCATGTATCATTTGAAGAAATGAGTGTTATCCAAGATAAAAGGTGCAAGAGAATGCAGCATCTTCTTTAAGAGAGAGAAAAACATACCTGAGCATAGAGTGCATAGCCTTCAGCACACTTTGGAAATTTTTTAATGACATCTTCAAAGCCTTTCATGGCTGCTTGCACAGGCAAAGCATTACTTCCTGTATAAGCCTGGCGATACTATTCAAGAAAGCAAAAAAAAATAAAAGAAAAAAATTGCACACCACCACACTAAATAATGGCTGATCACATCTCTACCCGCTTCCCCAAGAGATGCCTCATCTTAACAATTCTAAGTTACTATATATATACATAAAGGCTAAGAGAACTGGGATTGTTCAGCCTAGAAAAGAGAAGGCTTCGGTGTGACCTAATTGTGGCCTTTCAGTACCTGAAGGGAATCTACATGAAAGGTGGAGAGAGATTTTTTACAAGGGCATGTAGTGACAGGCCAAGGGGGAATGGCTTCAGAGTGAAAGAGAGTAGGCTGAGATGAGATGGCAGAAAAAAAGCCTTTACTGTGAGAGTGGTGAAGCACTGAACAGGTTGCCCAGAGGAACTGTGGATGCCTCATCCCTGGAAGTGTTCAAGGCCAAGCTGGAGAGGGCTCTGAGCATCCTGGTCTAGTGGAAGGTGTCCCTGCCCGTGGCAGAGGGGGTTGGAACTAGGTGATCTTTAAGATCCCTTCTGAGCCAAACCATTCTATGATTACCTGATAAGTTCCACAAGATGACACACCTGTACATCCTACCAAAGCTGGTTTTAGGAACCTACCACATGTCCAAGTCTCTGGACTTGGAGAGAAAACAGGTGGAATAAAGTCATAAGGCCTGATAGTTGTGATAGCCTCCCTCTATTTCAAATGCCTAAAACTTCCAAACCTAGCATTCCTCCTTGTTCCCACAATACAAAGCTGTCCTTAGAAGATTCCTGCACACAGACTCATTGTTCTAGCTTGAAACAGTTTGTTTTCAGTTTCTTGAAGATGACCATTTTCTTCAATAGTAAAGCTTTATTTAAATCAATTTTATGTGATCCAATTAGAATGACGACTTGTGTTCCTCTCCCACAAAGCAGAAAAAAATGTCCTACTGTTTGAACAATGAATGCTTCAGAAGGGAAGCAGCAAACCCTAATTCCAACTGAAGAAACCGTTTCATTATACCTTTACTTTATCATTAAAAGACAGAGATGTTTATTGCCCTACTTTCCCATTAAACTGGAACAAAGCAGAAAGCCAGTATGTTTTCCAGAACTCTTTAAAGAAAAAGCACCCACATAAACACCAGCAAGTTACCTACCAGAGCAAAACATTTCTGTGCCTGAGCCAAGGCAGAATCGGGTCGCAATCGGATACATTCATCAAAGTCTTCCACAGCCTCTTCAATTTGGTCAAGCAGGATTTTCAGCTAGCCAGAATGAAAGAAAATACTATTTCTGTATTTCATCTGTGCTTCAGACACGTATGTGATAATTCAATTAGTGTCAATTACTCACATCATCTCCGGCTCGGTTTCAGAACTGCCTAGTAACCTACAAAACCCGTAACTAAAAATCCTTGTCATAAAATACCAAAGGCTCCAATGAAACTTTGGCTTCATACACCAGAAGGCAATGTCCACACGTAGGGACTGACAACACCTGCATGTTAGACTGTGGCCATTACTGCTTTAGGATTACCTCCAGTCTCCAAAGCCATTGCTGCATTTTCTCAAGCTGCTTTGCCTCTGTAAATCAATGCCTGTCGACTATTTGCAAGTCAAAATATTTTGGCCTTTCCAGCCTGCATTTCAACTTCTTTTTGTTTGGTTGGAGGGTTTTTTTGTTTTGTTTTGCATTCTCATTCCTCCACAAGAGCAGAGCTCACTTTGTCATTCTCTTACTTTACTGTGAAGCTACTGTAAAATGCTACATTTTCGATATGCAGAAGACTTTCGTTCCCTTCAATCAACACAGAGCACCTTTTTTATTTCTGTGCACTAAAGAGACCTAATGAATTCACAGAGAAAGAAATGTGATCCATGGAAATCTTCCTTACAAATACAACTTAGCACATCTGCATATGATAATGTTCCCTTTTTTCTTCCAGCACCATTCCTATTACAGGTCTGTGGAAGCTCTAGGAACTCGTCAAGGATACATCAGCATGACAAACCAGAGAGGGCTGAGCTGAATCCTTGCAAGCCTAGGCCGCAGTGCTGCAGGTGGTGAGTTACCAGGAACATGTTAGATCCACTGTAACAAAGCTTCCTTCTATCCAGATGCTGCTCTGCCACATGAGGCCCCTTCACAGAACAGCTCACATCTGCTGTAAATGGATATAAGCCCTTGAAGTTTTAAACCAGAGTTCATATTGATAGAAGGCTAAATTTTCCTGTTGCTCTGCCTTCTTTCCTACAGCTACAGAAATAAACTGCTTCTGGCTGACCTCAACCTGCAAATTAGTCTGTATGTTTATTCCACGAAAGTTCCCAATTAGGAATTCGTGTTTTTCTGCCACAAACAGTACAAAGTGTCTCCGACGACATACTGATCATTTTTCCTTTCGGCTATATTGAAATATTCAAGTATTGGGACCAAATCTCAAACGTTTCTTACTTGTCCTCGATGGTGGTAAACATCTGCATTCTGAGGATCAATATCAGCAGCCATGTTAAAGTCTTGAGTGGACAGCACAGGCTGCTGCTGCTGCATGTACATACTGCCTCGTTTGATCAGGGCATTAGCTCGGAGCTGCAAAAAACATTCAGAGAAGCATTAGCCACTCCAGTATTCCTCCACATTTAAGTAACTGCAATTACAGCAAGTTTTTTCATTTGACTAGTTTCTCCCACTGACAGAGAAATAAGTTTCATATTGACTCTAAATGAACTGAGTCCCTTACCTAATTTCAAGTATGTCGGCCTATGCTTCCATCTCACTGGATTTTCAACACAACAAAAAGTCCTTTTTAAGACAGGTTCCCTATGCGTACAAATACATCACTGTGTTTTGAGGCAGCTGAACACACAAGTGCAATTAATGTTTTTCACTTATCTATGAACTGATTTTTTTGGAGTGGATAAGCCTCCAATTCATTCAGCTTCCCCTGTTCTTCAGTTTGCACTACTTAGTACAGCTGTCTCAAAAATCAACAAGCCCTTAAAAAAAAAACATTTGTCAGGAATAAAAAGACAAACCAGTAAATAAACCAGAACACTCCCATTAAAACTTGGAAAAACAATTTCTTGAACTATATTGCACATTTAGCATCTAACTTCTCGAGGCAAACCCAGCTGTGACAGATTCTTACCTTCACATTTGCATCTTCCATGCTGATGACCTGATCCAGGTCTGGTTTGGCAGCATTTGCATTGCCAATAAGTAAGTAGAAAGTAGCTCGCAGAAGCAAAGCTTCTGCCATGTATTTTCCCTTTGCTTCAATCTCTTTTGTGCTTTCACTAATAATTTTGTCATAGTTCTCTTCTTCCATATATTGTTTTGCTCTCAAATAGCCAGAGCTGTAAATGATGCAAGAACAGGTGTATAAAAATGCATTCACTGAACACTACAATTTCAATTCAGATTTTTCATTCAATCATTACAAATACTGACTTTTGCCATACTGTTACAACACCAGAATAGTTCCATTGGAACATCCTTTCCTGGATGGAGCCATCACAGATGGAAAACAATTTAGACAAAGAAGAGCCAAATTACATCAGAAACAAAGAAGAAAAATGTTTTAAAGCTCTTGAACTTGAGCTTCATTTGTCCCTTGAATTTTATTTTTTTTCCTATTAAGAACAGCAATAGTCTCTTCATTAAAACAAGAAGGCTGGGGTGGAATTCCAGGTCAGGAAAGTGAAAGATTAAAACAAGCAATATGCAGTTTACACATGGAAGAAAGCATTTCACAGCAAACATTACAGTAAGCACTGCCTTGTTCTCAGCTCTGTCCTGGATTTAGGGAATCTGCCTGTACATCAGGACATTCTATCTTACTTAAAAAAATAAAATCATCATGCTGTTTGCAATGGTTTCCATACTGACAGCAGTGCTGTCTTCCAAAGATAAACTGGAAAGCAGCATAGTAAGTTAAAGAACCACTCATGTGGTGCTCAACTGTTACTCAAAAAACCAACCAAACAAAAACACACACAAAAAAAAACACCCTCAAGCTTTTCTATGTCAGAACAAACTTCTCATTTACGGGTGATTTGATTCCAGAAAAATAAAACACCCTTTCAGTCTCAGTTGCTGTAAATTTAAAAATACCTTAATCTTCTCCCTTCCAATCTAAAGCCTAACATGCTCTTTTCCTTGGAAACTATTAACTAAGGAAAATATTCCTTTCTCCAGAAGGACCATTCAGCACTCTCCAGTCCTCCCATCCCCTAAGATTTACCATGATACTCTAGTAAGTATTCAGCATATTATCCCAATCAATTTGTCCTTCCTCTGCTCAGTGGAGGAACTAGCCAATCAGCTTTCACTAAAGTTTCATTTGTAATACTGATATGAGTTATTGTCACAGATTTCCCAAGCCAAGTACTATAAAAACAACAGCATGTTACACTGAGTAGAATGTCCAAATCATTGAAAACTTCCAATACCAAACAACTCCCAACTGTACTGAACACTCACTTTTCTTTTACTTCAGAAGCCTCTCCCTCCTTGTCTTTATCTTCATCTGATTTCTCCCCCTTAAGCAAAGGTTGGGAGATGATATCGTCTGTGAAAGAACTGAAGTAGGATTTAATGAACTGTGGTGAGGGCATCAGAGGCTCACGATTCTGAAACAGACAACAGTAATTTCAAGTCATTAGATGGTAAGATCAGATGGTAAGGCTGGAAATGGATAACAAATGTGATTATAAAAGAAAAATCATTGCTGTAAGAACCAATGTATGACTTTCCACTGTCTCACTGGATAGTTTGCTATTTTTGATTTGCCAGTTTGACGTTTAGGGATGATATAAACTTCAGATCACAGTGCAATAGCCATCACCAGTAGAAATAAAGTGGAGATATTCAAGGGAGGAGGGAGATGGTATCTCTCTGCATATGTGGCTAGAAATGAGGACTCTTAGGATATCGTAAGACATCAGGTAGATGTACAGAAGCAGTATGTGTGCACATAAATCTGGTGAAAAATGCAAGCTGGTGGTTTAAGCATGAGCCTAAATCAAGTAGAACCTGAATGGCAGTTTGCCCTTTTCTCCAACTTGTCCAAGAGAAGCTGCTGTCTAAAGTTACAATGGAGACTGAAGAAGCAGTGTCCTAGTTCTATTTGGAACTTGGCCTAGATACCACACATTTTACTTCAAGCCCCAGAAGCAACACCTCTCAGGTACAGAATCCTTTCTACAGCCAAAAAGTATTTCTTGCTCAAAATTAATACTGCACGCAAGAATTACAATTCAACCTCTCCTGCAAGTAAAGACTGAGTGCACTCTTCTGAAGCTCAAGATGATGTTCTATTGTGATACTGCCTATTTAAAGCACACCTATCTTGTGATGCTTCCACCAACACATTAATAGCACAATTCATTGCCTTGACACCACATATTTATGTGAATTTCTGTAGGAAAGAAATTCAGCATCTCAAAACCAACATGGATTTCAGTACCTCAACCACCATCAAAAAACAAGCAAGGATGTTTTAACAACAAGTGATACTGTGTTAACACCTGTCCCAACCTTTTTGTAAACCTACAGCCACTTAAAATGACTACTACCCCTATGCTTCCATAGTTCTCTTTTCTGCAGTTTCCCAACAGTCCTCTGTTCCAATATATTGATCATTAAAGGGAAACAACTGTTAGAAGTAGTTCTCTCTTCCCTACTGAGGTTTCAAAAACTTTGGACAGGTCCCAAAGGAAAACAACATTGGTACAACAGCAGCATTGTACAAAATGGTTCGTGTCAATTCTTACACTTCAGCAGATGAAGACAGTAACTTGTTTACAACAACTGACAGAATGCCAACAACCAAAGTTTCAACAAGCAGTCAGGTGAAATCGCAATTTGTCAGCAATAGCACAAGTCCTACCTTGTATTTCTCTTTGGCCTTTTCTTTTCCAAGGAGTTTAAGAACTTTATCAGCTAATAACATACTTTGCTGGTTTTGGAAGGCTTCTAAAATGCAGACTGCAGTGACATCTAGGAAACAACACACAAAACTGAGATGAAAGAAATTCTGATAGTCACTAGAGCTCTGAAACATGCCATTGGTACAGTGAGCCACTGCCAAACCAAGACATGTCCTGCTCAAGGGCAAAAGCCTCTGCTTCCAGTTTGCTGCATTTACCATATTTTCCAAGACACGAATTTGTAACCAAAATGATCTTCCTGGGATATAATGACTTGATGACAGTGAAAGAAAGAAATTACGTATTTATCTAGAGACAAACACACTTAGATGGACAGTGAAAATATATACAACAGGGGCTTTCACCACTTTGAAATACTGAGGATAGAAATTATGCTCATATTATGTTTGTATTGAAAGAGCTAACAGAGCTTCCCTTCTGGGACTGGTCTTGGTTTTCTACTTTTAAAATTCACATTCAGTCCCATCACATCTCACTTACTCCTCAGTTTAAGAAATCTTCTCATATTTTATCTCAAATTTTTCTGCTCACCTTTGTGACTTTGGAATGGAGCAAGGAGAAATACCCTGCTGGTCTATTTCAAGTGCTGGGCCATGTCATGTCCCTTTCATTCCACAGAAACCTTTGCAGACATTAACCCACTGCTGCCTGAATCATCCTTCACAGCGTGAAATGTGCTATTACAGTACACTGCTTCTCTGGATCCTGTAGTTAATGCAATACTCCCATGGATTTTTCCTGTTTAATTCTCATTTAAACATCAGTGAAGATGAATAGAGTTTGAACTTGACATTCAAGCAGTGAAATCCCTGAATATGCTCAAAGAGCAAATGTCTTACCCTGGAGTTCAAGCGTAGTTTATGTAATTCTACACTGTTATAGAGACTATTATGGGGGTTTTTTGGTTTTGTTTTCCTGCACTACATGGACATACCCTACTTCCTGGGCTTTTACTGGCCACATGCAGTTGGCAGGTAAAATCAGAATTATATTAGAAAAGCAGTGTAGTTAAAAAAAACAGCAATTTCAGATCTGAAAAAAATAAGCTAAAATTCAAACACAAATCAAGGCGGAAAATAATTGTCACAAATGTTACTGCTATTAACATTAAAAAGCAGTAGCATTTAAAAGCTGTCCTACTATCACAGGGAAGCTTGATCTTTCTTGGGGCTTTTGTCATCTGGCAGTTTGTCACAGCTACATAAGGTTTAGATTTTGTTACAGCATCTGGAAGTGCAGCTGATACTGACTGCAAAGGGCTAAACTAAATGAACCAGGTTGGCCTTTTCTAGTCACTGTGGTCTTAAAGGGCATAAAGGCATTGTGCTGGCAGAGAAACAGGTAAGTAAATAAAATTTCCACATCTTATCTACTTTCTAATTTAGCAGACCTAATTCTTAGCTGTTACACATAATGAAACTAACTTAACAGTTAGATTTGCCAGTTGGAGCACTGCCTTATTTTCTGTCCCTCTGTCAATCAGCACAGCTGCAAATTTCATTTGCCTTTCACCCTTGCAACAGCAGGAAGGATTTCACTTGGTGAAATTGAAGTGGGTCCTTTCAAGCAGTGTACCTTAGTTCAAAAGTGCCCTGAGACAACACACCTGACCTGTAGTTCTTCTTAGTTTCCCTGGCTTCATCTTCCTGACAGTTCAAAAGAGATTGTTTAGGAACAGTATTTGGAAGGATTTGATACAGTAGCCTCTCCCAAATACATAGTATTATTATTAAAAAATATAAAAATTTCAATGCGTTCCAACTTCCATTAGCTGTTCATTACCAGAACAAAATGCTACTGAAGCTGTTTTCCCTGTAACACCTGTCCAATGCATTTAAATTACTGTAATACTAATATTTCTGACCGCGTATCTCCACCTGCAAAAACACCTTCGTTTGTGTAGTAGTATCACTTCTCTAAAACAAGCAGAGAAAAAGAAAGTTTGTGTACTGTGTGGAAATGGAAAGTCTGCTGTCTGGGTTATCCACTCAGGATGTTAGAAGAATTCTATTCCAAAATGTAGGGAGTTTCCTGGAAAAAGAAAATCTTGAGTGTCTAGAAGCGACATCAGTTTCTCAGGAGCTATTTCAGATGTAAGCAGATGATTCTATGAAAGCTTGAGAAATGCAAAAAGGTTTCTTCTGACAAGAGAAGAAAATGTATTTGAAGTAGCTATGAATGGTTTTAAATAAATAATTCTGTATTACTGTAGCTACAAAAGAGAAAACAAAATTCCAGAATTTACCATCTCCAAAGCACCAGAGCTAATTCCACTTTTAAATATACACATCACGAGACACTCACCTTCTAAACATTCCTTCTTATTGTCTAGCTTCTCGTGAGCCTTTGCACGTCTGAAGAGAGCTTTTACATATTTAGGATTAAGCTCAACAGCTTTTGTGCAGTCTTGTGCCACTTCTGTCCATTTTTGCTGTGGGCAGAAAAACAACAGAGTGAGAGAGGCCTCACTCAGCTGCATTACCTCAGCTCTCCACTCCCAGCTCCGGGGTCATGTGCACTACCAGCAGCTGCAGGCCCCAGGGCTCTGGCTGTACCTGCTTGCTTCTATTTCTGCAAGTTTCTCAGTAAGAAACTACCTGAGCACCACTGCAAGCCACCTGCACCAGAAAAGTCACAAACCATAAAAGGAATTCCTACAGAAAAATTAAACCAGACAATTGTACAAATCACATGGGAGAAGATAATGAGTTGATGCAACGATGCTTGCAGGGGGTAACATTGGGACTGCAAGACTGGTATAAACAACCAGAAGAAAGAAGACGGAAACAATGAAAACACACGTTTAACTAAGCGTTACACCATTTTTTAAAAAAAAAGTTATTTCAATTTATCAAAACAGCCTTTTCTAATGGAGGAACCACACCCATGTGGGATTAATTACGGCATGAATTAGTGTTAGACAAGACCTGTTTTATTTCTAACACCAGATTTCTCTCATCACAGTCTCTCACTTGATACTTCAGACTGTACAAGGCAAATTTTCCACTCCTTTTTACAGCTCACCAACTTGACCTCATAAGCAAATCTATGGCACCATAATAAACACTGGTTGACCTCTAAAACTAATGCCAAGTATACTCAGCTATCAAGTAAATGTTACTTCCTCATGCAAAATTTAGGTCTTGGCCTTTAGGAGGATTTCTGTGAAATTTTGTTTACATTTTGAAGTAGCATCCTTCCAGAATATATGGCCTTTCACCTAACAGATAAAGAAACCTTTAACAGTTAAAGAAACCTTTAACCTAACAGTTAAAGAAACACTCTAGTAGAATGAAGCAAAATTAACTTAGAGAATTGTTCCAGAGGATAAGAAATGAAAACCTTGTCTAACAAGAGGAGAATGCATAGGAATTATGTAAGACAGACCGAGAGTAGTTAACAGAAAATAAATTTATATGTGAAAAACTATGATGAGCTAGTGAAAAACACCTGCAAGCAACAGCATCTTGTTGTGAAGACAGCAGATATCACCACCACTTCAGTGGACAAAAGCGACAAAACAGATAATGCTACCTTTTAGAAGAAACACATAATTATCTTTAATTCCTTACCAGTTGTTCATAGGCAGCAGCTCTATTTTGATAGAAGGTAGAAAGATCAAGGTTTTTCTCAGGGGGGCACAGGCTGATAGCCTCAGTATAACACTGAATAGCTAGCTCATATTTTCCTGCTTTAAAATATTTGTTTCCTTTGTTCTTGGCTGCTTGGGCTCTACCAAGAGGGCTCTGAAAAAGAAAGTGAGAGGTCAGTTCAAATAAGAAAAGCATCACAGCACACAAGCTATGCACTTAAGGGCTCATCCTCAAATATATAAAAACGGACCCGAGTGGTAAACTCTAGCCTAGACTTCTGAAATATCTCACGGATTTAATTTCTTGGAAACAACAGATTTTCTTTTGCAAGTCTATCTGACAGGAGATAACCTTTTCAAAAGATTCACTACAACGGTATTAAACAATGCAGTGAGTTCTGTTTGGAAAGCTAAACAGATTGTAATCTTACACGACTGGTGATCAGAAGAACCAATGAGGTAAGTTATTTCTCCAAAGACTAAATGTGCAAAGACAACAAAGCTCTCCAAGCAATTCAAATAAAAAAAGTTTCCTACTGAAATACATATAGCCTAGAAGACCAGAGCTGACTCAGCAGACTATGAATTAAATATAGAAAACACTTTATAGAAAGACCTACTGAGCAAAACAAATAAAACCTCTAAGGAAAATAAACCTGTTTTGCTATTCATACACTAGACAAATTAACACTTTATAGGTGACTCCTCTACAGCTTCACACACCTGCTTCATCCAACCACAATGTCCTGGACCACTACCATCTCAGCAAGGAATGGGAAGCTTTGCTAACTGGCCTGAGACCCTGCTAAATTCATCTTTATCATTTTGCACCACCTGTTGATCACCCATATTTCTGAAAAACTAACATTGCTACCTGTAAGCCCTGGATTTACAGGTAAGTTATCAAATGATGTGGTTTAGGAGGAATCAGATGCTACAATGCTCACTTTATGGGTATGACCCACATTCAAGAAATACAGAGGTGCAAAGGATCCTAACATTTATCTTCTGGATTTCTGCTCCTCTTTCACAACCTAGCTTCAAGGTCCAACATTTTGGGGCAGTTCTGGCTAACCTATCTGACCAAGATGTACAAGTACACGTGCCATTCTACCAACCTTTCTGAGGAGGGAAAGAATACAGACTGGAGCAGTAATGCCTTAAACAAGAGCTGCAGGATTCACCACATCCCACCTGCACTGAAAGGATCAGCTAGGATTTGCTGGAAATTGTCGACGGTGCTCTTTGGCCATACTTCTGCCTCTTCCCCCACTCATCCACTGCCAGTGTCAAACTACACCCAGATCTCTGCTGTGAGACAAATTTGAAAGCATCTTTGTGTTTCATCTGCCTATTTCCCTTAATGTCTGTCCATTTCATGCTGATCTAATCATTTTTAGCATCTAAGTGATTTTTAAAACTGGAAACCTGAAGGGAAGCCAGGAGTTACTGTACAACCTGTCTTTTAAGGCCTGGATTCCAACCCTGGCGTGACAGAATCAGATGATGGGTACTAGCCTTAGTTCCTACGTAAAAACAGGCATCCAAATAGAACAAAAGTATCTTGCAGGCACTCTCCTGAGGGGAGACTTACAAGTGAAACCATATAAGGGAGAGAATTTCTTAAATATCCCTACCGCCAGAAAAGCTCTTCTCTCACAAGTCACCAATCACTGGGCTTACAGGAATCAATCTGCACCATCTTTATTGTTCACAGAACAAGATAATCTTCCATGACTTTTAGATTTTTCTATTTTAAGGCTTTAAATTTATAAAAGGTTATTAACTCCACCCAATACACTGTGTGTAACTCTATAGATATATAAGACAGAACAAGAGTGTAAATATTTTTACTGACAGACAAGTAACTGTGTATTTGATAAGCTGTTTCTTTAAAACTTAACCAAAGTCTGAAAAGGTTAAATTTATTTCAAGTATGTCCTAAATTTAGCTCCAAGCACAACAATGCTTCTCTTTTAACTAAGGGAAGGATTATGCACATGCAGCAAACTTGAATTCAGCAAAGTCAACTTGAATTTTTCCTTCTGCATTTCTACTGCAAACCACACTAGACATCCCTTTGTGGAAGAACCTATAAAATTCAGTGCTGTTCCTATTAACTTGGTACAAAAAAGAAAACCACATGATATGGGTCATGTTCTAACACTCATACATGTGTTCCCAGTATGAAAACTATTTAAAACTGCAGAGATTAAGCCTAGACTACAACTAGATTGTATTTAGATACTTTATGATCACTGCCAATTCCTTCAGCCCAGGGAGCGACTACTCAACGCCTGGTTTGGGTTGACCAGTCCACACACTTGGACAGCTCTGCACCACAGTCCCTGCATAAAGACACATGCTACAGGTGAGAACTACCAGTGTCAGGTGTGGGACAGGAATTGTAACTGGAAACTAGAACTCTGTGGTGCTGGGGCTGTCACTGGTGCTCTGCTGGCTCTTGGGAAGCATCAAGTCTTCAGGCAAGCCTAGGTGCCCACAACAGGGACCAAAAACCTTAGAGAGTATGGACATGATGTCAAAGTTATTAAAATTAGTAACCTTGTTATCAGAATAAGCTTTTAGTAACAGTTGCAGGATTGTGGACCACACAACCAACTGTACAGAAACAAATCATTAAACATATGTAACTCCATGGTTACTATCTGCTGCACTCACTGCATGATGCAGGAAATCTGGGGGTAAGGAGTTAGAGCACAACGTGCTGTTGTAACAAAGTCAGCAGTAATGCCTGTGGCAAGACAGAAATCAGCTTGTTTGTTTATGCTGCCTTAAAGTAGACTGAGCCCTTAGATGTTTTATCTGTGCACCCTGAATCAAACTACTCTGTTTAGCCCCCAGAATGCAGCAACAGAGCCGAATGGCAGGGCCAACGTGTCACACGCCCGGGCTGATACAGCTCTGTATCAGCAACAAGCCCATTCTAGTAAGGACTTAGATGAAAAACCAGAGTCACTTAGCTTCTCATACCCATGAAAAATGGATCTCACACAGACTGCACAGAAACTGCACTTTACGAATAACAAAATGCTGAACTTATGTCTTGAAGCCCAAATGGTGATAAACCCCACAAGTTTTAAATTCAGCTCCCAGATGACATTTACTGTTTTCTTAGCAATCATGAAACTCTTTCACCATAGAAAACATGGCAGAAAATAGTGGATGGATTTACAGCTTTGGTATACAACTCGTCAACTTATGGAACAAAACAAAAATACAGGTTTTCCTTAATTTTGTGGGTTTTAAAAGAATATTCATAACCCCTTATTTTTTCAAAAAGAAGTTTAATAGCTTCGGTTTAAATTACACATTAACTTACACTTAACTAACTCCAGCATAACTTGATGAAGCCAAAAACACTAAAAACATTAAATTTGATGAGTCCCTTCTTTTGCTTTGACATGTATGTTTTTGTTGGGTTTGGGTTTCTTTGCTGGTGTTGGTTTGGAGTTTTTTTGACAGCTGTTTATTTTATTAAAGAATTCACGTCACATTATATGCTGCAATACCTTTTTGTCACAGCACAAACAAGAATATGAAAACTAATTCTTAATCTAACAAAGTTTGAAAGTAAGTTTGTCAAGCCTTAAATTTAAACCTGACAAAGATTTTCAGCAAAATTTTCTATAATTTTTCTTGGCCCTCCAGTCCTTCTCAATTGCTACACAGGACCTACACAAGATGTGTACATAAGAAACTGTGCAAGCAAACTTCATGTACCTCATGCACAAGTAATCAAAAGAGCTCACTTCTTCCACTTTCTTGCAAAAGTAATAATTCCTTCTAGACATTATTTTCCAATTTCACTGCTTCTCCTCATCTAACCCATTGCCATTCTCTGTGGTGCACTGGACATTTTTTATCCCCAAAGTGAAGGTCCATAAAGAGCAAGAAAAACTTTCCAGTTTGTCATCTTCTGGTCAACTAATCTGTGCAACAACCAAAGCAGCTCAATAAAATGAACAGAAGTTCATAATATCTCAAAAAACCAAATAACTCAAAAGTTATTCGCAGTTACACAAAAAGTAACATCTCAGTACTTAGAACTGCTTTCGGCAACTGTTCATTAACAAGTCTTAAAACAGAGTTTAAGCCAAAGGGCTCTTGTGTAATTGACTTATCAGTAATCTAGGTAACTAAACAAGCAGATCGTTAACTGTCTAAAGACTAGATGGCACCGACAAAAATTTCTTAACTGCTACTTTAACCTCAGCAAATGTGCTTTCCTCACAAAACATTCAGAAACTACCTGCAAGCAGCAACTTACCAGCAACAGACTGCCAGCTGCAGGAATAACAAAGCTTAGTGATCTCCCTCGATGCCAATACTGTTAAAGCAGCAGTTCAGAACTTTGAGTAACAGTCTCTCTCAAATACATAAAGCAGAACAAGAAATTTCCTGCCAGCCAATGATGACAGCGATTCACAACAGAACCACTAGCAGAGAGTTTCAGCATTTTCTTTTGGTTGAAAATTATTTGAGTGAGCACTTGTCTGACAGATGACATGGAGGGGAACTACTGTTTCAGCCATCTTAATTCAACCTGTCAAAAAATACAGCCCTGGTCTAGACCTCTTTTTTTGCTCTCCAAGTAACAAGACCCTCTTGATAAGATGAGGCACCAAAAAACTTCCTTTTCTGAACACTCGCTGTTACTGAATACCTATGTTTCCTGGTTTAGTTTTTTTTTTTTCTTTTTTGGACTAAGGTTCATCTGAAGTCTTACTTCAAACCTATACTGAAAGGCATGAACTGGGTATAAATGGTTTTAATAGTCTCCTAAGCACTAAAACCACTATGAGGCCAAGTATGTTTACATGACCCTAAGATCTAAATGCAGAGCAGGAGCAAGGATGTATTAGAGTTAGAAATAACAAAGCCAAAGTTTACAGTACAGTTTGACAATGTTCTCAATCACTCACCTTCCTTTTAAATGTATTTGCCATTCACACCCACCACGAATAAGCAAGTTGCTCATGAGCTGCCAAGAGTCTAACTATTGTTGGACTGCTATTATACACACATTTAAGAGTTTTCTACACCTGTCCACTACAGCTGGCATGAAACAGAAGACTTACAGTAGGTCAATAGAGAGATTTATTAGGCAACAGGTGCACAGTACAATAGAAA